TCGAATAAGAGCATGTGAAAACCGTGTATTCACCTACGCAGCGCGGTACGAAGCGGAGTATCGACAGGAATTGGGAGGCTACAGACGAGGGAGATAGGGAAGGAGACGGCGATGACGATGAGGTGGAATGCTACTGCGTCTATGACAAGTATTTCAAGCACCACGACGTAACCCGAAAGATGATAACGACAGCCAAGACTGGAGCGTGCGGAGGTAAGACAATCAGAGCCCCCTATCTTACCCGATTGCGCGAAGTGCATAGACGGCTTAGGATCGCAAAAAGTCAGGGGCCATCGTCTGGAGTGGTTATGGGTCCAGTATCGGGAGGAATGGAACTACGTTGGTATGTGGCCGTCATCGAGATCTGTATCTGCTTTACTTGATCAGAGACACACGAAGCCAAGTGTGTCACTGCTGCTGGTTTCGTACTACCTGTCCCGGTAGTACTTGAACTCGTCCCCGAATCCGTGCATTCCTGGCTCTGGTTTCAGCGGTGGTGGCTTGGTGTAGGTGAGAAGGATAAAGGCAAAAAGAGAGCGGACAGCAACTCAGGAAGCCCACGTTGCTCAAGTTGGACCGTGCTTCGGCGAGATCGGTGCCCTCATCTGATAGTTACTGAGGAAACTAAAAACTCTGCAGACAAAAGGCAGATCTGATTAGCTGGGAAAATCTGTCCTGTAGTTACCAGATGCCAGATGTAATTCAGACCTTAGGGCTTCTTGAGCATTCATTGAACATAGATACACAATAAACAGACCCTGCTTTGCATTGATGTTGTTGGAGATACAGTACACTTGCTCATAATGCATAATGTTGGACCAGCAGAAACTGGCATCTGGTACCACAAAAAATTCAATGATGGAAAGAAACTGTTATGCATTTCCTTTGGTGTAATGTTTACCCATGTGCATAAGTGCTTGGAGTGCACAGCCTCAGATTGTCCTACTGTTACTGGGAGGAGAGGAGTAGGGTTGAAAACTTTAGTCTTTGGTTGTTGCTATGTTCTGTAATAGATGAGCATTGTTCTGTAAACTATATACAGTACACTTGCTCATAATGCATAATGTCAGACCAGCAGAGACCAGCACCTGGTACTGCAAAAAATTCAATAATGAAAAAAAAAAAAGCTATGCATTATGAGAAAGTGTACTGTACACAACCAATGCCTCAGGGAGTAGACAACAAGTGCACTGGGAAATGTTGAGGTATATAGAGTGGGAGACTATGGGGGAAGTGCATGGTAGTGCTTTCTGACCCCAAACAACAGCAGAATCCTGCTGGGGCATGAGCTGCAAAACCTGAATGGTAGGAGGTGTTATGCCAATGACTCGTATTATATCACAAATTGAGTGTGGTGTAGCACAAGCATGTAATGTGCAAGAAGTGATGTGTAATTTAACTTCACTAGTGGTGGGGCACTAGTCTTGGCCAACTGAAGTTGTACTGTCAAGTCCTCATGGGTACAGTGAGCAGAGCTAAGGGTGGTTGCAAAGTAGATCTCAAATGGAGAGCCAGTGTGATACATGTGGGTTTATATATGTATGTAAAGTACTGTATGACAAACATTCAAAAATGTTCAAACATGCACCCAAGTTCCTACAAAGGTACTGTTGAGTCATATGGAGTCACTGCATAGCAGGTTTACACATATGACTGAGTCTCCACAGCAGGGAGAACTGGGGTGAGCATATGATGAAGGAAGGGGAACTGTGTACATATATGTCAAGTTCATGGTATCTGGGTTGAGGCTGGACTGGAGACAAAAGTGGGTGTGAGGCTGAGAGGGGTCAGGGTCAGAGGTGTAGTGGAGATACAGAAGGGCAGATTGATTGGACTTAGCAACTGAGGTTACAGTGCTATTCCCTTGCATTGGTCTCAGTCTGAGTCCAAGGCTGAGGCAGGATTATCAGAGTAACTTAGTTGATTTCAGACTGAGGGGATACAGGCCAAGTATCTATGGGTTTATATACTAGAGACAACTATAGTACAGAGACCAGTAATGCCAGTCTTGCAAGGATTGCTAAGATGATTGGTAAGAATGGCATTAGTAAGGTATGACAAAGATGACTGGAGACCAGGACAGAGACAGGGCAGGCTGGGGACAAGACCAAGGTGGGCTCAACTGAGATGACACTTAGTAATAACACTGCAAAGCAGTGCTAACTGTGCTAGGCCAACTGGGGGTAGAGTTTGGCAAGGCTGAGGCCAGACTGAATGAGTGTGAGGCTGAGTCCAGCCAGGGTCAAGGCATGGCTATGACAGTATCCCCCTCTTAGGGGTCAAACCCATGAGACCCCTGCAAGAGTGGTAGGCTGAGTCCAAACTTTGGCTGAGTTCAAAAAACTGATACTTGTGGCTCACTAAGCCCTTTGCATCTTTCTTTTGCAATCTACTCATCATGTCTGAATTGAGGCTGATCACTGTGACTGACAATGATGAAGGCTGGGTCCTCATTGACTGGACCCAGGTGTCAGATGATGCCATAAAATATGACACCAACAATGAAGAGGAGATGATGAAGGCAAAGGCAAAGGAGAGGAAGACATTTCTACAGCACTCCCTCCAAAAGACACTCATTTCGCTAAATTCTTCTGATATGGCTGCCTCTACATCGATCATTTTGCTTGTCCCCTTTGCTAGGGACCATGGCTACATATATCTACCAGGAGTTCCTACCAGCTTCCATCCTGAAGCATCCTGGTACATCCCACCCTCATCTGTGCCCTCTCAGCCCATCCAGCTTGGACAGCATGTTCTTTTTGTCAGTATGACCTCTAGGAGGATGTTCTTTGGTCACCTTAGGTCTGTCATTTGCTTGGAAAGGTCTTATGTGGTTGTTTCAGTCTCTCCAGTCCAAGAAGCATATGGATCCTTCCTCCCTGCTCCCTGCAATGTCTTCATACCAGTCTCATCCATCATTCTTCCAAGATTGCGACAGCTACAGTATAATCTACTGTTCTCCACTCTCCCTGATCGCATCCATGATGAGTATGATGCACATCTTGCCTCCTTGTTGCAAGATACAGCAGAAGACACTCCCCATTCATCCTCTCTTCCAACAGAGCCTTGTTCATGAAGTTTTTATTTGCTTCACTGAGAGGATGGTTTGGGGGGGGAAAGTTGTGATCCCCTACGCTCCTGTCACCCCACAGACCCCCAAAGCTTGACCCCTGTTGACATCTGACTCACCCTGTCCACTTTTGGATGTACTATATTGGCATCAGATCAGCACTGCCTCTCTGTCATCCCACCTTGGCCTAGAAGCAATCTCTTTGAGATGTGACATGCACAGCCTCCCCCTAATGCAATTCCAGTGTGCTTTCCCAGTTCCTGACATTACTTGACTCATACTTTGACATTCTGACTGTCTTTGACTCACCTATTGCTAATACTTACCAATCTTGTGACTTTGCTTACTGATTCTTCACTTTTTGGCTTGCTAATCCTTACCAATGCTTTCCAAGAAGATTACCCATCACTTGCATTCCTTACTCATCAGTTACCAATCACTTACCAAGTGTTTGCACCTTGTTTTCCAAGGGCAACACCCCTGTACTGTATATAAATCACTATGCTTAGATAAAAAAAAAGAAAGAAGATGTCAGAGAGCCCCTCTTGCTCACATGTTATCATCACTCAGTAATTCATTCAGCAGCTTCAATAATTGAGACTTTATTAAGGGTCTAACTATCATCTACTTTGCTTATCCTTGTCTATCATCAATACACTTCACTCCAAGTCCCTCCCTGAGCTCAGTACAGCTCAGAACATTGAATTAAGTCATCATTCATCCTTCTGTAGGCTGACAACAGTCTACTCCATCACAATCCTCTTGCATTCTTGCTCCCTCTTCATCAGAAGCACCCCCAACCCTCAGCACCTTGGTAAGTCATAGCCTGGTTATGTTGTACCCATTGGGCACTTCTATGACCAGCTCCCCCATAGCTGTAGCATGAAAAAGTTGTCTATTAGCAGCTGAAAATGACTTGGTTGGTATGCTCATTAATGTTTTGAACTTCTCCTTGTAAGGGGAGATGTGGATCTGGAGTCATAAAGTTCAATGACAGGCACTGTGAGTCAAAGTGTGGTTCAGTGGTGAAAACCAACCAAAACAAACACAAAAGACAATAAAAGCAAGTGGTGGTGTGCCTACACAGTACCTAGATGGTGGAACCTTGTATCTGGGTGGGTTTTTATGAGCTGCAACACTCAAAGATGAGTGCTGCACTCTCCCCAAGGTTGGATACACTCTAGTATGCATTGACCACCTTGACCAGCTAGGCTACTCCCTTACCTTTGCTGAAGGCACCTGCATTATCAAAAACCCTACCAATGACATTGTTGGTTGCATCCCTAAGTCCAAGGCTGGACTCTATCAAGTTGTCCACAATGACAACCATGACAGCATAAATGTTGCAGCTGAAATGATAACTGTGATGGCACTTCAATGGAGGATGGGGCACATCTCCCTGTCTGTCACTTGTTGCCTAGCAGAAAATGGACTCATATCAGGCCTAAAGTTAGACTTATCAAAAGATGAACCAATCTTCTGTAAAGCTTGTGTATATGCAAAGGCAACTAGGAAGCCTATCACAAAAGAACATGCTGGAGAACAAGCCCATGAATTTGCAGAAGAAGTGCACACTGACCTCTGGGGACCCACACCTGTGGAAACTCTTGGCGGATGGTGTTATTATATCACCTTCACAGATGACAAGATGCGACTCACCTACATCCACCTCCTTTGCCAGAAGAGTGAGGTTTTCACAGCCTACAAGGAGTTTGAAGCCTTAGCAAACCCAGCTCAACCAACCCCTGACCTATCATGTGATTCACATGACTTGCTGGTGGCTTACCACTTTTGGTAGTTACAGACTTGTGGCACAGTATAACACTAAGTACTCCCACATGTACCTTACATCCATGTCACATGGACCCCACCTCAATACCAACCCAAAGGATATGTTCAAAGTCCAAGTGCAAGAGAATACTCCCTAATGATGACCCCAGAAAGACCTGTGAAAAATGTTGGGAAGCAGATAAAATCACCACTGCAACCCAGAGAAAGAGAAAAAGAGAAGAAGATAACCATGCTGCCTTGTCCCCAGCCCCTGGGAGCCAACACACATGTGAGTTTCAACTCAGTTCCTCAGACCTCACCCTCAAGATACTCACACAACACCACAGTATGACAATCCTCAGAATTTATTTACAGCATTGCAGGCAAAGTTTTGCAGCTCAACAAGTGTGGAGTTCCAAGGCAGTTTTCTAGTGTCTGTGGACCCATTAGTCAGTGAAAAGGAAAGAGTACAACATGCTGCACTTGAGATATGGAAGGTTACTGGATACTGCTTCAGATGAGTTCAGCACTGCACAAGCCTAGTATACTAGAACAAAGCTTACAAAGTATTCATAGAGTGCACTGTCATTGGCCACTCAAAATGGGCCACAAGACACTGTTGTGGTGTTGTCAGGATGAGGACAAGAAACAGAAACCACAGCCAAGTCAAAGAGAAGGTGCGAAACACCATGACACCATGGGGATGAAATGGTTTCCTTGCAACGGTGCCCTTACCATATCCTGTTGTCAGCAAACAGGGAACACAATCAACCAGCATACACTATCAATCAGGATCAAGCACACCAATGCACATACAGCCTACTATGATGTCACCATGCCCCTGGAGGTTACCCAGATCATCTGAGATTAATTGGAGTGGAGTACACCTAGCTCACTTGTTCTGAAGATCCAGGCACTATACCCACATGTTACACCAGCACAAGTACACTCTGCTTGGATGAAGATGAGTGAAATTCTCTGGAAAAAGGATACCAATCAGCTTACATCAGCAAGAACACTATTGGATGAGTGCAGCAATGAAGTAGACATTTTTGACATGAAGATCCCAGATGGGGTGGAGCAAATATGCTGGGGAATGAAGAAAATATCTGGCATGTTGGAAGGAAAGGCTGTTGAAATTGCCCTGGATGCAACATGTAAGCAACATCATACTTGATGCCTCTCAATTAACATGACCCACCAGATAATACAAATGCAAAGCACCTAGAGCTATATAGTGTGCTTGCAGAATATGATAATGCTGGCTTCCCACTGTAATACTGTCTTCTTTCAACTGCAACCTCAATTGAGATTGGGAAGCATACAAAAGCCTTACAACAGTGGGCTACTTGCCTTTGTGACCATTATCATGTTCACCCATGGTTTATCCATGTCAACAAGGATATGGCAGAAATTAGTATGTCCAAGTCAGTATGGCCATCAGCTAAAATCCAGCTCTGCTGGTGGCATCTATGGAGATCTGTACAAGAATGGTTAGCAAGAGAAAAACTGTCAACAACACCCTACCACCTCCTCTGGGCAAATCATGAATTTTCCTTCATCAGTGTTGACTTTCAGCCCCTCAGCACCCAATGTTGCCAAGTTTGAGGGCAGAGTCCTTCTGGAACATGATGAGATCCCCCATGACAACATCATGCCTTCACTGTCCAATCACATCCCAAATCCATCTTTCAGCATCACTACCAAACCAGACATCAGCCAGATGAATCCATCACAGGCACAGGCAGAGTCATCAGCAACACAAAACTTACAATTAAAGTAAAGGCACCAAAGCAACTGGAGAGCACACCATCCTGAGCATTCTGTTCCACTGACCTACACTAGAAGATAGGGCTGTCGGGGATGGCAGGCACCTTGTTTATGAATGTAACATAAAAGCTGAACACAGAACAACCTTACTAGACTATTATTTACATGCCATATCTGGATAGGTAAACACCATAAAACCACATTGACCCAACCATCTGAGCCAGCATCAGCCCCCTTGTGCTTGTGCTCACTATTCCCCAAAATACAACCACATCAATCTTAAATTTCTTCACTTCCAATGAACCAGCAATCTGAAAGAAGCTTGCATTGGAAAATGAGCTTCATTGTACACAGGAGATGATAACAAACTTACATGTCATTGTGAACACCAATGTGTAGCTGTCTGTGAATGCAGGATAAGCACCACACATGTACCTGCCCAGCAACCATACAATGTTGATAACACCCAAGCAATTGAAGGTGTCAGCAGTGCTTACAAGGTCATGAGTCAGGTCAGTAACTTGAACCCAGAAACAGCTGCCATCAGTCAGGGACTGAGGCATTGACTGGCAAATGTGAGGTAACTGATGGATATCTTCGCATGGGGTGAAGTTGAAACCACATGAGTTATATTTTTGGAGGGCAGCCATCATCTTGAATCCAAGAGACCCACAATAAATGGGATATGCATTAATCAGTGCACACTTGTGTAGGGCCAAGCCAGGGTATGCACAAAAAATGCTGTCTGTGGTAGTAAAATTCATCACAGCTGTGCTGTGGAACTGAAACAATGGTGAGATGGTGGTCATTGTCTTGGACACAACAACATCAGTGTAGTGAGAACCATTGGAGAACATGAGGATGTTGCAGACAGCTGCAGCGCTGTAAGTGCTGGCATCGATGTGTGACTGGTGAATGATGTAGTAACCTGCAGGTGGCCAGTCAATGGACAATTTTGCGAGATAACCATGAGAGATCAATACCTTCACATTCAAGTTTCATACACAAGTAACACATATGATGCAAAGGGACATAGAGATCCAGATCAGTCAGCATCCATGTGCAGGTGTTTGCAGGCAATACCATGTGGAGCACAAAGGAACCAGAGATGACAGCTTTGCAAGAATGCAACATTTCTAGCAACACATTGGAGCTGGAAAAGAAGGGAGCCATCTCATAGTGAGGCAGTAGTGGAGATTTGTGTGCAAGTACTGCAGCCCTAGGAGAAGATTTGGCAAAGTCAGCAATGTCATGAATGTTGCAATAGCCAAGGATGTGATGTTGAAGTTCTGTTGGCAATCGAAACATACTGGAAGATGAGAGCAATGTCAGCAGAAGCACAGACACAAGATTTATAGTACAGTATGGTTTAAGGGGTTGAGGGGAGTAAGGGGTGAGAAGGATGGTGACAATGTAACATCCACAAAAAGTAGGGGAGCCTGAGGCAAAAATCGTATGACTTAGTGTAGTTGGTTGCTTGAGGGTAAATGAGTGACATGCAACTCAGGTAGTGAGTAAGGCTTAGCATGTCATGCTGCAAGGGTGAGATGTGGCAAACTGCAGCACAGCCTCACAAGCATACATAATATTGCAATAACACAGGCACTATCTACATAGAACATTTATTATGTGTCAAGAGAATGCAGAGTAAATTGCCCAACACAGCTAAGATTCAGGAGTGGCAGAGGACAGACACAGAAATCAGGAAACGTCTCACCAAGCTGATATGCCATTAGTATGCAGCCATCATTGACACATACAAAACATGCACACAAGAAGGACATTCATGATGTCCTGGAGGTCATCCTCTGCATGAATGTGCATAGGATGTTGATGGCCAGGGAGGATCCTGACAAAAACATATGTTGCATTTTCTTGATCATTTTGGTGACACTGTTGATCAAAGAATGTGATGTATAGCCTGTGTTGAACATGAACATGTGTGGAGGTGATTGAGCAGTCTTCAGGAAAATGGAACTGATTTCCACTGATTGTCATAGTGCCAGTATTGTCAATGTGGATGCTCAGTCTCTGAGGACCTGAGGTTCTGCCAAACAGGAAACCCCATACAGTATAAAGGGTGTTGTCCTCTTCAGCAGCCACAGATTGCTGTCTGTTATCCATTGTCTGTAGAGAGGAAAAACCATATGAGAAATAGTTGAAGATATAGGTGGTACTTACATGTAGTTTGAAAGTTGGGAGTGAGGCTGCATGTCATGCAACATAGACACTTAAATATGCAAGGTGAGGGGCTACCCCTTTATGACTGAGACACAATAGTGACTCAATAAATAACAAGGGGGCCCTCCTAACAATCAGCAATTGGCTGCATAAAACCACAGGTGGTCTTACCTCATGAGAAGTTGAAGGGAAAACATTTGTGTGCTGTGCAATTCTAACCAAAGTTTCTCATCTAACAGTGGGGCATCAATATCAGTGTCGAAGCCCACTAGGAGACATTAAGGCAACATAAAATGAACTTATGTTGCAATACAAACAACATACACAGCACAGCGAGATGTTGTGTGCCAATATGTGTATTTCCAATGTACATAATCAGATGGCTGCATTCACATAATGGTCTGCCTTTCCAGCTATGACAACACAGAGACAATTTTTAACACATCCAAATTTCCAGTAATGTGTCAGGCACACTGCTTTCAGCAACCTGGCAACTGTTAGGCCTGAAACAGATATCAGCCAATAACCATAGCAGCTATTTGCCTGTGAAGCATACCAGGCAATTTTTCTTGAAGGACAGCATGTGGGTGAATGACAGTCCTTCACTGTCAAGAGACCTTTTCAGAGGGTTGGTAGGTGGAGGCAGTGGATTGTGTAAGACCACCATTTCACACACTATTCCACTGAAAACAGATTTCTTGTCCTGTCTGAAATAGTAGTGCACTAAGGCAAAATGCATGATGACAAGAGCTCCATAGTTTCCAATGATAATTGGAGGGTGCAATGCTTTCATGATTCTGATCAAATGTGGGCAAGGGACAAATGATGTGTGTCAGCACAGCACATTCTAAGGCTCCCTTGGTACATTCTTGAACAGGCCAATCCAAAGTTCAGGTCTCTGTGAAGCATAAATTGTCTCAATGTGGACCAGGATAAGTAGAGGAAGTTGATACCATTACAGTAAGCAATGTCTGGGTCTGCATTCTCATCTTTCCTCTGAGGAGTGTGAGTGTAAGCCACCATACACATGAAGTCAAGGGGTTTTTGGGATGTACTGTGAACAGAGGGTGGCTAAGACAGATGGATGCCACACTGTCAGCCTCTTGTATGCATGAAACCAAGGTTGTCCCCTTCTTGGCTGGAATAAGTTTTTCAAGAGCCCTGATGTTGCTCACTATAGCAGTGAAGTTGGCCCTAGCTGTGTCAAAGGCAGCATCTCTCTGAACAGGAATGAGTTGGCAGCTCAGTTTTGTTTCTGAGAACTCTCACTTGAAAGAACTCAATAGCATGTACCCTCCCTCTGGACCTGTGAAAAAGTTTTGGTGATCAATCTGAAAAATCCCACTGATGAACAGTTCCATCATGTCGTCACCACTGTCTTTCACCACTGTGATGTCCCCAGAAAAGCTGCCTTGGAAGAACTCAGTGCAAGGGGCAAGCAGCAGAGTCATGCCATAGAAACCAACAGCACTTGTTTTCAGCATGTGTATGATGTTGTCTACCTCATCTGAGTTGTCCTACCATCTTTGCAGATCCTCAGAGGAAGCATGTGTGCCACTGGATATAGTGGTCAAGGCCATAGGTGGCATGGCATCAGTGGCATGCAAATGCTCTGTCAGTGATGATAAATTCTCAACAGATTCATGTTCTGTGGTATGACAACCAGTAGCCAGTCAAAAAGCACAAGTGGGCATGTAGGGACTACCACCAACCTGTAGTGGCTGACAGCATTCTCTGTTTATTGTTCAAGGAATGGGGGGCCATGGTTGTTTAAGCACAAGGGACAAAAGGGCAGTCCCCTAGAGGACAGAGGTATTTTAAAGGGACATGAAAAAAGGGGGATAGGGGTGCCATGTGGAGTCAATATGATGACCTGTGGCAGTTAAAGAAAAGATGCACCAGCAGAGGACAAAATGCACCATTGATGCAAGATCTTTGGGGACAACTTACATGGCAAGAAGTTTACAATAGTGTCCCACCTGGGTCACTGCCACAAGGACTCTGGACATGGGCACAGCTCAGACCTGCTATAAGCCAACTGCCAGTTGATGTTCAGCAACATATACAGGTGGTTGCTGCTGAAAAGGAGCAAAGTGAGAAGCAGCAAAAGTGTGAAGCAGATCAGGCATACCAAGTGAAATGGTGAACATTAATGTGGCTCAGACAGTTGATACCAAAGGCTGGTCAGTCTTCAACACAAGACATATTCAGAGTTGGCATGTGGGAGGCCAAGTACCTGAAATTGCCTTCGCATGAAGAAGTATGCACCCATGTCACATCATTCATTAAGGCAACTGGCAATGCAGCATTATGTCAGTGTGTATGTGTTGTATGCATGTGTGAGCTGATGAGCAGTGAAGGTTAGATTTTGCAGTCATGAATATTATAACCTTTAATAATGATGACAGGGAAAGAAGAGGTCATTAAAAAACATACCCAATGCTGAATGCCATCTCATGTCCAAAGTTGAGCATCACATGCACAATTTATGGCAAGGCCTATTGCTGTTGAAGGCACACATGGATGAGACCAGGATGGGATGGGCATGTGGGGACTGCTTTCAAGCCTTGAGTGGCAACAGAATGCTGAAGCTAGCACTAAACAATAACATGTGGTTGGGAGATGCACTGCTGGGACTGTGAAAATTGACCTTTGCAAAAATGCTTTTGGTGGCATGGCATTATCCTTGCTGCTATGTTTTCAAGTTATACCCCAAAGACAGTTCACATGGACATAATCCTGCTCACCTTCAATGTGGCATGGCTGGCAACATCACATTGTATGAGGTCAATATGTCAGTGATTGCAAGCATGGTGGAAGGCAGTATGATGCTGCAAGAGGTCACAATGCTCAGCAACATTATCACAATCACATTCATAGGAATGAGGACATTGCCAAAGAATTGGATGTTGTGCACCTTTTGGGTGTGCTGGGAAGCAGTTCATGAAGCATTACTCCAGCTGAAAGCAAACAATCCTCTTTATCATGATATCATGATATCTACACAGTGACTGATGACACTACCTGACAATGAAATCCCAGTCAAAATAGAAGCCATTATCTGGTGTGAGGATGATGCTGCAGTCATGGCACAAGAGCACAAAGGTTATGTACAGGATAGCATGGACAATGAAATGGGTATGATTTTCATATCATGGACAATGGTGACTTATAATTCATGATGTGACAGAGATCACCAATGAAGTAAACAAGGATGATATTGATGCTGCAATGAACAGTGATTATGGTTCCACTGGTGATGATGATGAAACCAAAGATGATGGTGAGAAGTTGCATGGACTGTATACAACTCTTAGCAGTGACTGAACCAACGATGTATAGAAGCAGATATCATACCTCTGCATGCTCTCAGTGTCATGGATACCAACCTTGCATGGGTCTCTTCTTTGGAGCTCATGATGTACATGCTCACCAACTTGATGGACACAACACAGGAAGGAGGATATGTGGTGTGCCACAGTGTCAGGCCTATAGGAGACTTTGGCAAGAATGCAATAGAGAATGGTACTCCCAATCTGCTTGCTGCAGCCCTTCCCATGCTTGTTTCCTTATGGACTTGGTGGAGTTGAGGCTGAATGCTTGATTAATGTCAGCCTCTGCAAACATGCTAGGTGGGCAATGCAGTATTACAACTGCTGTTTTGTCATCCACCATGCATTCCCTT